TAATTTTAATAGTGAATAAGTTTGTGATCCCAATAATAGGTTGTTCATGATTTTTTTAAGTTCACATTTAGTTCAACAATAGATGAGTACATTATTTTAACAATCAGTAGGTAGGTTCGTAATTTTAGCAGTAAGTGGATCGCAATTTCAACAGTAGATAATTCATGATTCAAATAATGAGTGTCCATAATTTCCATAGTAAGTAGATTTGTAATTCAGTAAATGAACACACAATATGGCGTGCAGTTCCAGATCACCATAACTCTACAACCAAAACACAATAATACAGAAAACAGTGAAATCTACTCGAAGAAGACAAAAATTTGGTCCAAGAACTAAAATCCTACTGCCAAAATTTATATCAATGCTACTTATTTACATGATTATGAGCTTTATTTATACTACTCGATATCTTGAGACAAACCTGAAATAAAATTTATTAAATTCTATCTCATATAACAATTATCGAATATTAAAAGTCCTAGGTCTAGTGGTCCAGATCACATATTCTTGGTCACAATCTTTGTCATGTACTTGAAGCCAGATCATATTCCCCGTTACAACGGGTTACTATAGTTATTCGCTAGTGTTACAATTGAACATCTTCGAATTTTAATCATTTTGTGTAACAATTTTCGGAAAATAATCAATCTCACTATGCTACGTTTTGATTGGCGTTACCCATATGTAAATGCCGGGTCCATACTAGGAATGTCTTTTCTAGTTTCATATTAATATTAATAGCAATCACTGACATATGGATACATCATTCTAGTGGTATATCAATTGATGTTTGTATTATTTCGGGAAGGAATGCAGGTTTTGAAAGATTATCATTAATACTTACTAATTTTCAATTTTAAAATAATATTATCATAGTTATGTATAAAAGCTACTTTTTATTAAATATTATAAAAACTGCAAATCAACACAGAAACGACAAATATAACATTTATATTTACTCAAACATAAGTTCTTACTACGTACACTTTAGCAATTAATAAATAAAAAAGAATAAAAAATACGTAATAATAAATATTTTTTATTATATTTTTTAATACCGAATTTTAATCTAATATTCGCTAAAGTTATATAACGAATAGTTTTTTAAACTTCAATACACATATTTGCGAATATTTTTTATACCGAATTGTAACCCTTAGATTTAGAGGTTCGTTATGTCAAGCTTCAACTGTATTATAAAAAACTAATCGTCGTACAGATTTATGTCGATCTAAGTTACGGATTATTTTGTTTTTAATAAAAATTTGACAAAAACTAATTATGACTATAAAAAGGTTTGTTAGTAATATATTTTTATTTTCTATATAAATCTTATTGTACCACTTAAATCATAAATAATCTACATGACTCTACCCTTAAAATTTAAAACTCGCTATTTTTTAAATATATAAATTTTAGAATTGGTATTCTTGCTTATAGCCATATTTGTTTCTTGAATATATACATATTTTTAAAAATTTTAACTTATAAATCTTATTTCTAAATTAATTACTTATAAATTCTATTCTTAATATAACATATTTCATATCATAACGTTGACGGTTTTTGAATTTCCTTATAGTTTTATCCATAAAATTGAAAATGACCGTATATTTTCTAATACAAATTATTGTAGAAGGTTCGGAAAACGATGATAAATTTCTAGTTTTTAATAGGCATTTTTATGTCTCACAATACATCCCATGTGACAATAATGCCCTAAAGTATTCTCGTATGGACATGGCATTGATGAAGTAGCGGTAAGGATATTTAATTTAAAGAGCGAGTGTTCCTTTTCGAACAAGTGTTCAAGGAAATTTTTTTCATCCTGATATAAATCACGAGCATTAGCATCAGGTTTTATTCCCTCCGAATATAAATCATTAAGTAAATCATATAAATCGTCACTATTAACAAAGACATGATCATCATCGGAAGGAGAAAGCATGTTATTGAAAGGCGAAGGTGTAGAGGGAGGCGTATTATTGGAAGGTGAAGGTGTAGAGGGAGGCGTGTTATTGGAAGGTGGAGGTGTAGGGGGAGGCGTGTTATTGGAAGGTGGAGGTGTAGGGAGAGGTGTATTATGTGAAGGTGGAGGTGTAGGGAGAGGTGTATTATGTGAAGATGGAGATGTAGGGGGAGATTCAGGAGGTTTTGAAGGTTTAGGGCCTCGTTTTTGATGTTGAAAGGAGTAAGTACATTCAATATTATATTTTGTGCATCTATTGCATTTAGTAGATTGTTCGAGATGATCTACCTTCTTGCATCTGCTTTTTGAGCTTCTGCAAGAATCGCATGCATAAGTTGAGTTGTATCGAGATCTTCTTAGGAAACTATTTGTTGCTGACGGCATTTCTCGAAATGAAAATTCGAAGGCTCAAAATTACGCAAGTCGAAATTTGAAACTATGCTTGAAAGTTGAGAACTTCAAACTACCTTTGAAGGTCAAGGCTACGGTGGTATTTATTAACATTTAGCGTAGAACAAATATCGGAGTACCTTTGAGTATTACTCAAATAATGCGTCATAAATATATTTTTGTGTAAAAAAGTTTTTCTTTATTGTTCAGCCTTATGGACGTTTTCGTACTGTAATCAAAGAAGATAATATAGATAAAATATAGTATAGGTGACACCTTAATAATTTGATAATACATTGAATTATTAAATTTTAAAATTTAATAAATGATTTTAGTAAGTTCCTTTTTAAGATTTATCCTGCCCAAAAAAAGTATCTCTTTAACGAATTCTGATCGACCGGAAAAATAGCTATTTTCTTAACAAATATCCGATTTTTTTATATTTTTTGTGCAAATATAACGGGATATTACCCTTTAATATCAATATGGGAAATTATTACAATTTAAAGTTTATATTGATATTTGTTACAATTAAAAAAACTATTTTAACGGCTAAGAGCAATTTAACCTTATATTTAGTAAAGTTAAAAATTAAACCATTATAAAGAATCTTTAAATATGGTTGGTTTGTTGAGTTGCTTGCGAAATAGATAAAGAAGTAAATGGTATCGAGATCGAGTAAATGAAATGACCAGAACTTCATTTTTTCTTAATTTTTATAAACATTTCGTTTTGTCAATTTTGTTATTATCACAATTGTTATTGCACTAATAAGTATTTATTCATCCTAATTTTAATCACAAAGGTACAACGGTCTACTATAAATATCATAAACATTAGGCAGGCGGATCGCAGTAGAAATTATGTAACGTGTGAATGTTATAATCATATGCATCGTAGGATTCGCTCATAATCCATGGCGTATGCATTTTCTGGTAATAATTTAGATCATAACATTTAAGAAAAGAAAAATGGAAATTAAGAATAGATCTAATAATCGAAAGATTTGATGATCATAACGATCATAACTATAATCGGGTAACGACGTATTTAATTTTAAATATTAAAGAGTTTTATTTTCTTTCAGAGTTAACAAAGATGTAACTCCGATAGAAATCGTGCAGCTTCTAAATGAATCGAACAAATCAAGCTGAGAAGGTTATAAATTTAAAATTCCGACAATAAAAAAAAGAAATAATATAAATAATCACACCCGCATTTGTCACAATCTCATTATAATCACTTGATATTTTTATTTAATCATATACATAGTATATAAATTCCTGCTCGCTTTAGTCAGATTTCACAATAGCACACAAATTTCTGATTATACTTTTAATGTAAAAGTCCAGGATCCGATTCTAAAATGAGAAAAAAAAAAAAGACTTTTTAAATCGTTATTTTCCGAAATGAAATCCCATTTACATAAACTGTAGATTATTAGCCCAAAATTGGGTGCCCTAATTCCCCCACCACTTCACAATCAGAGAACTATAAAATTTATTAATAACACAGATACTCCGATATGTGAATAATTAGTAGAACCAATCAGAATTGGTGGGGAAATTAGTAAATTCCCCAAAAATCAGTTACCATTACGGTTTATTGCTGTTTTCAAAAGGGTGTGAACAGACGCAAATAACTATGTCACGGGAAATTCACGAAATTACCCAGATTTCCAAACTTCAATGCCGGATCTTCAATTTTTGCTAATGATAGTTTGGGGCGTCGTCAATCAAAACGATACATAGTGAGATCCGACAAATTGTTACACAAAATGATAAAAATTAATTGTGACATGGAGTATATATCACGTATGTTAATTAATAAACTTAATACTAAGTATTAAGTTTATTATTTAGTAATTAATATACATGATATATATACAGGCAACCCACAATATCAACCTCTTTCTAAGAAAAACTAAGCACAGGTTATATAGAACTGTCCTGTTGTTATATGTATTAACCCTCGTATGCTTCAACATAATTGTCAAATCCAAATGGGTTGATATTAACGAGGGTTGGCTGTATATGGGATTTGCACATAAATTGAACACTAATAAAATTCAAAATCAATTTCACATTATACCATCTAACAAACAAGATACCATATTGAATTGAACCAATTGTTAATATTAATTTCTATTTTTTAATTATCGCTGTTCCAAACATTCTGTGTTCCTACATAATTAGGAGTACCCTATGTCAGGAAATTTCGAGCTGCCAATCAAAAAAATAAGGAACCGTAGTATCTCCAAAAATCCCTATACTTAACATAAAAAATTGTGCGAGAACTTTTATTTAGAGGTCAGAGCTAGTTGTCGTAGTAAAATTTTGTGTTATTTACGTTTTTTTTTTACAATTTTCTTATGTTTTTCACGTTTGTTTTTCTACACAAGATCCTGTAATTTTATTGGATCCGTAGTGCCTCCAGAATTATCTTCTTTTAGATTATTATTATTTCATTTATTTATTTATGAACGATGATTAATATTCGAATAATATTT